GAGAGAGAGAGAGAGAGAGAGAGAGAGAGATTAACTTACTACATGGAATGGAAAAGAATGAAATATCTGGGTCAGACAGCCATTAGAAAACTGATCGGTTCGCAAGTTCCTACTATTTTCACTATTACCCAAGGATATAGCACTGAACCATATATGCCCCAAGAATAATCAGTAAAAGATACCCATTAAATATAATTTGCCATATCTAATGAAAAAGGAAACCAGATTAGGAACCTAAAATTATATAAAAGTTCATTAAAATTTTACTTAAATATTTATGTGAACATAGCCACTTTTTAAGGCAGCCACACAACTTTAACCTTGCTGTCTTCTGATATCTAATAACAGAAATTTCCATTTAAAAATTACTTTCCTATATATTTTTTAAAATTATGAATCTCATTGTATGGTGTCATAGAGATAGTAAGAGGACAAAATTGGTTTTGAGAGAAATTTCTGCTATCTAAAATCTGACCATGAAAGGGTACCCCATTTCCAATAACCCTGAAAGGTTTTCTTTCCTCTGGCAGTCAGTCAACTAGCATTTTAGGGGGGGGAGGATAAATAATATCAGTCATATCAAAGTACAGCCTCAAATGATCACCCTAATTTTTCTGAAGTACCAAAATGTGAAACTTACTGTCAAATTTTTCCACCCAGGGTCATTATTTAAACGATCAGCTATGTAATAGCGAAGGCATTTAGCAAGATTGTCCATGAACTCAGTTCCCTAAAATGATAGAAGGAAATAAATTAACCTCTCATTTAAGAGTTAGCAATAGCTAGCAAAGTGTGAGTCCACTTACTGGTGTAATACAGTTGCTGTCAAATCTTTCTTTTATTTCTTCTGGAGGAAGATAGCCACCTAAAGAAAAGAGGCAATGTTTTGTTCTCCCCATAAAATGTGAGGCAAATTATTCAATATTAAGCAAGAAAAACAACAACAAATTAAAATATAAAAGAAGAGAAATAGTGTTCTCTGAGAAACAATGTTCCTCCGTTTAGGAAGAGAATAAGATTCCCCTAAAATTAAAATTAAATGTTAACAAGACTTTCAAACAATAGAAGGTACACAAAATATACTATTTGCTACACAACAATCATGAAGTTCTTCTCTCTGTAACAGGAGAACACACACACACACACACACACACACCCCCAATTAGGGGTTTATTTTTGATAACAGTTATTAAGATAAAGGTGCCTTGGGGGAAAAAATTAAAATGCTGAGTTTATCAAAGTTTTACAGGATAAGAAATTAAATTATCAGGTAGAAATAAAATTTTCAGGTAGAAGAATAAAAAAATCCTACTTTTTCCTTTATATCACCGATCAGCTGCTTCTTAGGAAACAAGTATATTTCACAACGTCTTCAAAAAAGAAGACATCCTTAAAATAATATTCTGTCATAAATACAAACAGGGCTTAGAGCCTTAATTACAAGCAGCAGTTAAATTAACTATATACTTGTACATTACCAGCAAATTAAAACAATATAAAATTTATCGTAATTGCAAGCCTGAACTGACTACACTTTGTTTCTACTGAGAGTACAATTATCTTAAGCCAATAAACTGTTGCCTAAGTAGCAGAACACCAAAATAAATCAGCCTGCTACAATCACACTCTTATCTCCACACAAGGGCGGTGGGAGGGAACCAATCCCAGGAGACATCAGCACCCCAAACTCACCCCTCTGAGGTCTGATTACCTCCTATCTATGTACCCACCAGAAATTTCAAATGACCACATCCCACCTCAACCAGGCCAAAACTGAGGGAACCGTGGGAAGGGTGCCTGCTCCATCAGCCTACATTGAAAGTGTGTCAAGAACTAACAACAGCCTACACATGTGGATCAAACCATCTCTGGCCTCCTCAGGCAGACCTCTGAGTTTCAAGGGGAAGCAAAAAACAAGCAAACCAAGACAGATTTGAGGAAAATGTTGACACAACTGTAGCTTTATGACAGCCCCCACAGAGAAAAGCAGCTGTCCCCTCAATGTTTCTATATAACAGATACCTAAGACAGGTAAAGAGCTGCACTTTTCCCCCAAGAGGGACTGACACCCTACTCTTCCTATGAGAATCTCCTTTAATTCCCTTTTACCATAGAGTTTAAAAATGAACAAGTTTATTAGTGGGATTCCATGAACTATTTTTCCTCAAAAGTGAACATATGTTTTCCTTGGATATTCTAGGGTCCTTATTCCATTAAAACCTCACCTATTTGTATGAAATGTTGCCACCTCCCCCCCACATCTTGTAAAAAGTTCATCTTCAAGATTCATATTCTTTACCTTTTGCTAATATTTCTTCCCTGACTCGCTCCTTCTCAACTGCTGCTTCCATTCCTTCTTTTGATGCTCTGAACCTCCTGGACCGCTGCTGGTTCATTTTAGCACGTGGTGCCTGAAAACATGTATATCATAGTCACATAATACTAAGAAAAATATTCACAAATAAATCTGTACATTATTTTAAATAAGTTGTACTTATAAAAACAATAAATTAAAATGAAAGAAATGTAAATAATATGCCTAGCAATCCTTTCATGATAGCTAACAGATCCTGAGAACTTAAATTTGGACCAAAAACCTAAAAGCTGAGCTCAATCAGGTGAGTGAATGGTGTGTCAAAGGGACAAACATCCTATGGAAGCCCCAACACACTTCATACTGCAAGGCCTCCGGCCTAATGTCAGTTCTTCTGGGTGAGGGTGCTTCAAAGAACACAAGAAATAAAGCTCACTCTACTCGAAGACCCAGCCAGCATTTAATGAGTTGTTACTACTGAACCAAGATCAGGAAGACCTTCCCTATGTTCACACCTAAAAGGAACAATGGTCTCCAAATGGGTCCCATAAAAGCAATAGAAAACTGCTTCTTCTTGACCTCAGTGCACTTCTATTTTCTATTTTGCACAACAAGGTTCATAATAATCACTTTAACCTTTCAATAAGGTATAGCAATTAGAAAAACGTTTTAACCAAAAGGACTTGTAAATCACTCTAACCAAATGCAATTTAAACCACTAGATAAGTCCCAAAAAAGTGAATTGAACTTTTTGAAAGTTACTGAGTTCTGGGGTTGAAAGAAACTGTAGAATAATATCCTATTTACATCTAAATCTAAGTTATCTTATAGTCTCTAGTAACAGTTCCCTTTTCTGTAAAATGAGACCGTCTAAAGTGGCCCTCTCAGGTACCAGGTTCTGTGAGCTACATTTATATATAAATAAAAATGAGTATATACATGCACACATATGTATGCATAAAATATGTATTATTTTACACTTGATCTAACAGAAAGGGCACACTGAAGTTAGAGATTTTCTTCAAAACATTTAGCTCACTGTAAAGTGGAATATACTCTAAATAAAACATATTTCTGCCAGGCTTGGTGGCTCAGCCTATAATCCCAGCACTTTGGGAGGTCAAGGCAAGCAGATTGCCTGAGCCTGCGGGTTCGAAACCAGCCTGGGCAACTTGGCAAGACCTCATCTCCACAATAAATAAAAAAAAAAAATTAAGCCAGGCTCAGCAGCTCAGCCTGTAATCCCGCACCTTTGGGAGGCTGAGGTGAGTGGATTGCCTGAGCCCGTGGGTTCGAGACTCGCCTGGGCAGCGAGACCTCATCTCTACAATAAATCAAAAAATCAGCCGGGCGTGGTAGCACATGCCTGTAATTCCGGCTACTTGGAAGACTGAGGCGGAAGGATCGCCAGAGCCCAACAGGCGAGGCTGTGGTGGCCGGGAGCGGTCACTGCACTCCAGTCTGGACGACAGAGTGAGACTCCAACTCAAAAAAAAAAAAAAAAAAAAATTAGCCAAGCGTGGTAGCACACGTCTGTAGGTCCAGCTACTTAGAAGGCTGAGGCAGAAGGATGGCCAGAGCCCAGCAGGTCGACGCTGGCCATGAGCGTGCCACTGCACTCCAGTCTGGGAGACTCCAACTCAAAAAAAAAAAAAAAGACATATTCCTGTTCCCTTTATTCCTTACTCAATGCTAACTGCAATTTAGCAAGCCATCAGGCAATTAAATTGTTTCATTGAATAAAAAGAACCTCATAGAAAAGTTAATCTTCTTGTTTTCAAAGTTTTCTAGATTTTCAAATCATTCCATTGTCCGCTAGGATATACTAAACTTAAAGAGAATCTACTTGCGTATGGCTAATTGAATTGAGAATTGTGTTTTGCCTTAATCTTCCCTACACCTAGATATGTAGTTTGCTGGTTATTTAAATAACCTAAGCAAATTGGTATTTTGTAATAATAATAGTAAGTTACTTCCCTCAAATCCTTTTCAAGACTACACACTGTCAGATATAATCCAAACTTTACTTGGCATGCAAGGCCTTCCCAAGCTGTGATACTTCCCTTTTCAACTCAAACCACCTATAGTTGCCCAAGCATATCAGTGTGGTCAAAAGCATGGTTAAGTGTTGCTTACCTGACACACTTGAGAAATCTGGAAGGTGCTCTCTCCCCATACCTGTCCCATCCAAACTCCAATTATTCTTCATTGTTAAAGAAATAGAGCGAAAGTCACTCACCTCCTCTCTTATCTAACTCCTTTAGCAGTACTAATTTCCTCTTCCCTCAACACCCTGCATGGTTTTCTACTGTCCATAATGCCTATAAATAATTAAACACTTGCACTTATCTATGCCTCTTTCACTTCGATGGTAAGACCTTCAAAAGCAAAGGCAGTCACTAACATCCCCAGCATTTCAAACAGGCACTAAAAAAACATGAATGAAAGACTGAAGGATGAGTTCAAGTTCACCACTATCAACGTTTTTCATCATTTAGCTGACTTTCATTCTAGACACTTAGAACAAACAAAATGGGGCTTCTTAATTATTTTAGCACTTACCACTCCATCTATTGCCATGTAGAGAAGTCTTCTTGGTCTTACAATATTGAAAAGTCTATCAATGTACTCAAAAATTGCAACCATCATTTCATCTTCGTTTTTTGGTGCTGGTCTGTAATGACAAGCAAACACTGTAATATAATACAATATTTCCTCTGTAATTTTGATATCAGTGATAAAAACGAGTTACGTACTTGTCTTCAGGATGTGTACAGGGGTGGATGATTCCATTCATATCCAAATACAGATTATCAAACTCCACATCATTGGGATTAGGTTTACTAGCATCAACTGGAATCTTGACACCATTGCATTCTTTTGGCTATGAGGAAGTGATAATAGTAGTTTGTTCAGGTCCAAAAACAACAGATCCTAGGCTTAGCATAAAACCATGTTTCATTTCCAAACTAGAAATAAAACATTTTAATTAACTCTTAAATTATTAGATAATAATAAGTTATTGCATTCCTTAAAGCAAACTGAAGCCGATATTTCATCTGCAGAAAGTAGATGGCTTCAAACACAAGTTAATTTTGACAATGTGGGGGATGTTTATCAAATTACCAAAGCATTCAATTGCCCAAGTGAGAGACTATGGGAGTCATCTTAGAATTCATTTCACCACCCACATCAGTAAGTCCTGTTGATGTAACCTAAAAATGCCACTCCACTTCAACTCCTTTCACTCCTACTACCATGAACAACATGAAGTTCTCATCTCTCACCTACAAGATCACAACAATCTTCACAGAGACTATACCACCTCCAGATTCTCTGGCCTTCAGCCCACCCTCTCTACACAGTCAGAGTTTTCTTTCGAAAAGATATGAGACTCTGGCTACTTGGAAGGCTGTGGTGGAAGGACTGCTGGAGCCCAGTAGGTTGACGCTGGGGTGGTCGTGAGTGTGCCACTGCTAGAGAGCATGGATGACAGAGTAAGATTCCAACTCAAAAAAAAAATATATATATATATATATATGAGAGGGGACCCCACCCGCCAAAAAATGGAATTATCTTTTGGAGAGTAGGTCCTTGTAGTATAGTCGGAATTTGTTCTTCCACATCAAACGGTCAACCAAAGTTTTTATCCGGAAAGTTTGAGAAGGCTGAATCATAATTTGTGGAAGAATCATCCCGAGTTGTGGCAAACAGGTTCTTCCACTATGACAATTCACTTATCTACACAGCACTGAGTGTTTAGCAGTTTTTGACCAAAAATGGCATGACCCGTGCCCCACCCTCCTTATTCACCAGATCTCACCCAGAGTGACTATTTTTTGCTTCCCAGATGAAAAAAGTCCTCAGCGATGAAACATTTTGCCAACATGAAAGGTGAAACAAAAAATGGCAGAAGCACCAAAAGTCATCAAAATTTATGAGTTCAAAAACTGTTCTGAGCAGTGGGAAAAGCATCACGGTAAATGTACTGCATCAAACAGAGAGTACCCTGAAGCTGACTGAAGTTTAAACATGTAAGAATAAATACACAACTTTTTATAAATAAATTCCCGGGCCAGGGGCGGTGGCTCAAGTCTATAATTCCAGCACTTTGGGAGACTGAGGCAAGAGGATTGCCTGAGCCCAGGGGTTCCAGACCAGCCTAGGCAACTTGGTGAGACCTCATCTCTACAATAAATAAGAAAAATTAGCCAGACATGGTAGCACACATCTGTAGTTCCAGCTACTTGGAAGGCTGAAGCAGAAGGATCATCTAAGCCCAGGATATTGACACTAGGGTGGCCGTGAGTATCCCACTACACTCCAGCCTAGGCGACAGAGTGAGATTCTGACTCAAAAAATAAAAATAAATTTTAAAATTCCTGGCTTTTTTGGTTCCCACCCCCTTGTAAAAGTGTCAGCATTTTAATCTTTTTTTTTGAGTTGGAGCCTCACTCGAGTTCAGCGGCATGCTCACAGTCACCCCAGCGTCGACCAGCTGCACTCCAGCAATCATTCTGCCACAACCTTCCAAGTAGCCAGAACTACAGGGGCACACCACCATGCCTGGCTAATTTTTTGATTTATTTTAGAGACAAGGTCTCACTATATTGTCCAGGCTGGTCTTGCACCCGTGGGCTCAGGCAAGCCTCTCACCTTGGCCCCCACAAAAGTGCTGGGATTATAGGCTTGAGCCACCGCGCCCAGCCGGCATCTTAACCTTGGCTAATGTTTCCAATGATTCCCACAGCAAGTACTGATCAATAAGCCTGGACCCTTGCTAGTCTCCTGTCCTGTCCTGCCCTGCCACAGTGTTGTTGAGCCCCATTCAATCTTTCCCAAGTTCCTGGAAAACACTCTTTCATCTCTCAATACCTCTGCATAATGCTTCTCCTTTCAGAACACCTTTTCCTCCCTGCCAACACCCACTTCCCAAAATCTCATTAATTTTCCAGGGTCTCAACTCAGACCAAATGTCACTTTTTTATAAAACTTTGTACACATCTCCTAAGATATTAACTGCTCCTCCTCCGTTTCCTTAAAATTTTGCTTATTCTATTGAAGCACGTCCACCATTTTATAATTGTCAATCTAATTCAGATTCACTGTGAGTTGTTAAAAAGGTAAGGATTACTTACTCCTAAATGTACTCAATTTGTTTTTATAAATGATATTACCTGTGTTTTTCTCTTCCAGAACTTCAGTAAAAGATTAAGACCATGAGATCTGATTTTTACTGTTATTAACAGTAAAAGTCACTTTAAAAAATAACAATTCCTCAAACACATACCAAGCACCACTTGCAATAGCAAAAATTGTAAACAACTTAAAAGCTCATCATGGACACTGCTGTCATGGATGAACCTCAAAAACTTTATGTTAAGCCATTCACAAAAGACCATATACTGTACAATCCCATTTATACAAAAAGCCTAAAATAGACAAAGCTACAGACATAAAAAGTAGATTAGTGGTTGCTTTAAGCTGAAGATGGAAAAAGACAGAAGAAGATGGGAAGTGACTACTAATAGCTTTTGAGAGTGATGAAAATGTTCTAAAATTAGATAACAGTAATGACTGTACGACTCTGTAAATATGTTAAAAACCACTGAGTTGTACACTTTAAATAGATAAATCTAATGGTATTTAAATTAAAACTCAAAAAAAAGTTAAGAAACAGAATCAAAGATCAGGCATGGTTCCAGCTACTCAGGAGTCTGAGGCAGGAGGAGCACTAGAGACTGGAAGTTTGTGGCTACAGTGAGCTATGACTGTGCCACTGCACTCCAGCCTGGGTGACAGAGCAAGACCCTGTTCTCTTAAAGAAAAAAACAATTCAAAATGCTGCTTTTTACCCAATGCTAATAAACGAGGACTAATAATTATCGCAAACATTTATGGAACACTTAAACTGTGACAAGCACTGGCCTAAAGGTGTTTACTCAAGAACAGGGTAGAGTAAGCTGGCTCGGTGGCTCAGACTGTAATCCCACGCCTTTGGGAGGCTGAGGTGAGTGGATTGCCTGAGCCCGCAGGATCGAGACCTGCCTGGGCAGCGAGACCTCATCTCTACAATAAATCAAAAAATCAGCTGGGCGTGGTAGCGCATGCCTGTAATTCCGGCTACTTGGAAGGCTGAGGCAGAAGGATCGCCAGAGCCCAGCAGGTCGAGGCTGCGGTAGCTGGGAGCAGCCACTGCACTCCAGTCTGGGAGACAGAATGAGACTCCAACTCAAAAAAAAAAAAAAAAAAAAGAACAGGGTAGAGTATTCTACTCTACTACAAAAGTTTGTGAGATCTAGAGTATTTCACTTACAATTGAGAACACAAATTCTTAGAAGGGTAAGTGACATTTCCAAAGTCATGACTGGCAGGTTCAAAAACTAGGATTTATTTATTTACTTATTTTTTAATTATTATTTTTTTTATTTTTGAGTTGGAGTCTCACTCTGTCGCCCAGGCTGGAGTGTAGTGGCATGCTCACAGCCACCGCAGCCTCAACCTGCTGGGCTCAGACAGTCCTTCTACCTCAGCCTTCCAAGTAGCTGAAACTACAGATGCACGCCACCACACCCAGCTAGTTTTTATAATTTATTGTAGAGATGAGGTCTTACCCAGTTGCCCAGGTCGGTCTCGAAGCCCCATGCTCAGGCAATCCTCTTGCCTAGGCTTCCCAAAGTGCTGGGATTACAGGTTGAGCCACTGCGCCCGGCCAGAAACTAGGATTTAAACTCATGACCTCAGAACTAGAATCTTAACAACTACAGACTGATTAATTGTAATTTGAGTGAGTCTCCGACTCAAAAACAAACTAACAAACACTTAAAGTCTTTGGAATGGCCCTAAGGGCAAACAGCAACTAATCAAGAAAATCTATGAAAATTTTAGAACTGATTTCATTTGCAAAAGTCTACAGTGAAGTTTAAACCTAAAGATGCTCTCAAGATAAGCGAATGTTGTGGTAAAAAACAATTTGGAAGGAGATTTGTGGATGTAATGAACTATACACTAGCTACTTTGCAAAAGAGAAATTGGGAATAAGACAGCTGGGAGGTGCAAATACCAAACTCCAGGCTTGGAAACTAATTTATGGAAAGATCCACAATTCCACTGAAATAGTTTGTAGGGAAATTTATGCCCCAGGGCACTGTTGGAAATAACAGAACACCTTGTAGATACTAGATGTTAGGTCTTTGTCAGGTATACAGTTGGGAAATAATCTTTCCCATTCTGTGGGCTGTCTCCCTGCTCTCTTAACAGTTTCTTTTGCTTTGCAGAAGCTTGTCATGAGGGGGACCTCATGTCTATCTTATTTCTTATGGTAAGGACACTTAGAGTTCTGATCAGGAATTGGCTGCCAGTTCCAATTTCCACAAGGGTGTCTCCTGCATTTTCTAAGATTCTTATAGTTTGAGGTTTTACATTTAGGTCTTTGGTCCATTTAGAGTTAATTTTTGTGTATGTGATAGATAGGGGTCCTCTTTCAATCTTCTGCATGTGATCAGTCAGTTTTCCCAGCACCATTCAATGAAGCAGTTCTCCTCTACCCAGTGGTTGTTGTTGGAGACTTTGTCAAAGATGAGTTGGTTGAGAAATTTACTTCCGGAATCTCTATCCTGTTCCATTGGTCTATGTGCCTGTTCTTATACCAATACCAAGCTGTTTTGATTACTATAGCCTATAATCCCAGCACTTTAGGAGGCTGAGATGAGAGGATTGCCTGAGCCCACGGGTTCAAGACCAGCCTACGCAACTTAGTGAGACTTCATCTCTACAATAATCAAAAAATTAGCCAGGCGTGGTGGCACGTGCATGAAGGCTGAGGCGGAAGGACCACCTGAGCCCAGCAAGTCGAGGCTGTGATGGCCGTGAGTGTGCCACTGT